AACCAATCAGTCTAAAAAGCTAACTGGAAGCTAATGGAAGTTCTCTTAAGAAAAGTCTAAATTCATGAATATTAAATAAATTCTATTTCTATTAAATAAATTATTGTAAAAAGCTAGGGGCTTCAACAATAATACTGGGCAAAGGCCAATGACACTCATTCACACATTCTAAGTAAAGAAGTTAAATTAGCCTCAGCTTTTTTTTTTTTTTAAGGATGAGTTATATGGGTATTATATATGAAAATATGAATGCAGAGTTTTCCATTTACATATAATTAAAATAAATATGTTTACCTTTAAATATATGATCTTACTGAACTGTGACCTGGGATGGAATTTGGCAATAGGAAAAAGAACTATTACAAACATATATCAAAAAATTTGTGGAAAACTAGAATTAAAAGATAATACAAATCTTTCCACGAACATTTTGACGACCCCTCTTACACTAAAAAGTCAACCAATGAAAGTATCTGGATAATTAAGTAAACATTTAAAACTTGGCAAACTGGTTTTATTGATGAACTAATTGAGTGCCACTTACTTGTTCTTAGTGTGTTCATAATAAAATGTTCACAATAAAATTTTAAAAAGTTAAATTACCCAACGCCTCCATGCTTTTCCATAAGGGCAGCAATTCAAGCCTTGATACAGTAAAAAGTCAGAGGAAACCTCAGATTAAAAACCTGATTGACAAACAAGTAAAAAGCCATGTCCTACACTTGCAAAGCTAGCAAGTTTTGTGTTGAGAGATCTTTGTCATTTCACAGATGACTACCGTGCAAAGTGTCTAAGATCCTTTCCTAAAGTAACACATTGAGCCTTAGCCCTTACCTATGGCTCTTAAACCATAATACTTTGTTAAGAATTAGTGTCGCCAAAGTTAAAGATAGTGTGAAGTTCACCTGATCAGCAAGTAAGTTTCAGAAATCATTATATTGAGGGCCGGCCCGGTGGCGCACTGGATAAGTGCGCCGCTAAATTTTGAATTTGCTATTCTAACAATAATGTACATGTGTACATGTGTTCATGTGTGTGTGTGTGTGGCATGCTGCAACAATTACAACACATCAGAAAAAGAGCAGAATTTGAAATTTAAGTGTTCTTATTAAAATAATGTTCCATACATTTTTTCCAAACACACATCCCTTTGTGTGAGTTTTAAACAACATTTTAATAAGAAAAATCATGACTTGTATTAAAGAATATGCTAATAATAATTTAAAAATTGAAGCTATATCATGCACACACAAAAAATAAAAAAATGAAAATAAAATAAACAAATGTTACCAAACTGGAAAAAAGAAAAAGAAACAGATTTACACAGGTGAAGGCAAATAGGCAGCACATGGTTAGAAAATCACTCTGGAAATAATCTGCTTAAATGTGTAACCACATGCTCAGTAAAGAACACAACATAAATGTCCTAGTCAAGTTAAGGGATTCTGGAGAGTGAAGCTCCTGTTGAAGAGATGGGCACATTACCACAGCAGAGATCACTCCAATAGCACGTCTATATCCAGAAAAGCACAGGAAAATACTCTCCTTTCAAACTTAAATACAGGTGTGGCTGCATCCTTCCTAAAAGAGATCACCTTTCGGTGTTTCACTATTTTAAGAAGTTTTATCAAAATGTACTCAATATTCGCCTTTCTGAAAATAATGATGAAGCACTTAAGAGGAAAGAACTTTAGTATGTCCTATTTTAATCCTGTTTGAAGTAAAACCAAATAGTCTTCTGTGTTCTATGTCATGGCTGTCATCAAACTACTGTTTTTCTAATGACTGTATTTTTATTTTAACTAGGGACCTTAGCAGGGTGACAAATATCTGTGCCTTACATTTCTAAATAGATGCAAAGTTTTTAGCATGGAAGTGACTTCTTTTTCTTTCTTTCTTTCTTTCTTTCTTTCAGTGCCATTTCTATACTTTCAGCAATTTGTTTCTAGGAAATGGAAAGTGGCAAGGGCTATTAGGAAAATGGGAAAGTGTCTGTAGCAGAGATAAGACATTTAACTGAGATTTTAAAACATCTTATTTCCTTCGTCTCATAAATACAGCTTTGTCTGACTTTTGTTAATTTTCTGAGGTTTTTTAAGGAAGAGAAACTATGTTCAATGATTGTTCAATGGTTCCATTTGGCATCCTGAATAGATTTTACTAAACGCCACAGGTATAAGTGTGTTTTTGTCAAAATCAAGGGGTAATACTGAAAATCTTGAATCCAAACTTGGTCAGGAAGGTACAGATAAGTTAATTTGGAGGTTTTAAATTTTTCATTATTTTTATTTTTAAGATTGAACTTACTGGCAGAGAAAAGAGCAATATTAGACTCGGAAGCAGAAATTCTCCAAATTTAAAAAAGAAAAAAAGAACTCTTTAAAATTTTGTTGAAAAATATGCAAAGTATAAAGAAGAGAGTGAATGAATGAGTGAGACGAGAATGAGGAACCTTTTAAGACCTTTTGCCCTCTCATCTACAGGACTGTGAAAGTCTTTTATTCTGTTTTTCCAGTTCTAGACTGTCCTTCTTCCAGTGCATGCTGTGTGCTATAGTGTCTCTCACTCACTTCCAAGCCTCTTTTTAGTCTGGCTCCGTCCCTCCAACTTGATTTGTTTTATTTACTTCACCAATATACATTGTCAACGATTCTTTAGCTGATACCTTGCTGTACTCAGTTCCCTTCTCTGTGCTTCTTTGCATAATTATTCTTCCTGCTGATGGTATCTTTTTATTCCTACACAGTTACATGAATTCTTCATGACTTAGTGTAAGCCCTACCTCCTTCAATGACCTATGGTGATATTCTTTCTGAACACCTTATTTGTATAGAAACACCAAAGAGAAGTGCTCCATTCCACTGAATTAGTTCCAATCTCACCACTCTTCTCAGCCAGGACAAAATTTCCTCAGCATATCTGTAATTAAATGCCAGTTTGACATTTTAGCTTCCTCTAATTGTATTTATCCACATACTCTGTATTATAATTACACCAGAAACTTCTTCCAAAACATACATTTTTCTCCTCGGTGCATTGATTTATGCCATTTCCTTCAGAAAATGGGAGTGTTAAGTTAATATTTCTTGAGTCCTTATTATGTGCTGGAAACTATGCTAAAGGTTTTACTGAAATGTGTTATTTAGCCCTACAACAATGCTATGAAGCACTTCTGCTACTCTTGCAAATAACAGATGCAGAAACTCAGGCATCATCAAGCTTCATAACTTGCCTCCTAAGTCACTGGTCCATTTCTCTAAAGCACTATATTGCTGCTCTTGAGCATCACTTCAAATCCAGTGATGTGCTGTCAGTATAAGGTACAGTATCAGTGGAACACATTTTGATGTATATGGCTTAAGATTTTAATAATGTGAATTCTTTGGGACATCCATCTGTTTTTTCTTGTATCAAAAATTGTACTCATCTTCAAGGCTCAAGTCATATGTGTCCTCTTGGTCTCTCTAGTGAGAGTCTCTTCTCCTTGCTCTGCATTCAGAGCAGCTTCAACTATGTCCCTGCTACTCATGGTATGGTTCATGGGACGCAAGGTCAGTCTCACCTGGAGCTTGCTGGGAATGCTGACACTGGCTCCACACTGGACCTCTTGGATCAGTTTTTGTCTTAATAGGAGTGAGCCCCAGATGATTCATATACACTGTAAAGTTTGAAAAGCAATGCACTAGTTATTTATTTCTATATTTAGTTATTCACAACAATTAATTATTTCTATTTACCTGACATTTTACAACCAGAAAGAGCAGTATGTTATTTATATTTGTCTCACCCAGAATGACTAGCATAATACTTCCCAATATTGTTGACACTCAGCACATCTTTACTAAATGTATCTATTGAACTGAGAGAAAATTCCATGGAAGTTATTCTTGTAAATCTCCCATAACTCATTGAAGCAATATTCTCTTCTAGACTATAATTTCTGGGTGTGTAGTGGTTATATCTGTCAAGTTCATATGGTGCTTACCTACTATGTGGAAAGGTACTTCAATGACTTAAGGATGGAGTGAGATGCTTAGTAAATTAATTAAGATGATTGATTAATATATTAAAAATAATCTTTTTAAAGTAAGGTATAATTTTATTTTGAATTTAATTGATAAATACCTATAAGTATTCATGTGCCAGTGTTTCTAAGTTTTTTGCAAATATTAACTTATTCACATTCTGAACTAAGATTGCTTGTTCTTATGTAAATTTATGTTAAATCAATAGGGGTTGATTTGTGATACCTTTTTCAATTCTAATAGATGTGTATATCACATCTATTTCAGGTTGTTTGTTTCAGGTGATTACTTAATGTGTCTTTTTTAATGACTTCAAAATTCTTCCGAATTGATTGAAATTTTTAAAATTTTAATTGATAACTAGAAATCGTACATATTTATGGGTACAGTGGGATGTTTCAATACATGTACACAATGCATAATAGTCAAATCAGGATAACTGGCATACTCATAAAGAGTAGATTTGTGGTTGCCAGGGTCTGGGAGGGGTAGTGGGTACGGAAGAATGGGAAGAGGTTGGTCACACAGTGAAAAGTTACAGTTAGATTGAAAGAATAAGTCCTCGTGTCCCAATTCACAGTGGGGTGACTATGGTAACAATCATATATTGCATATTTCAAAATAACAAGGAAAGAGGTTTTTGAAAATTCTCACCACTAAGAAATTTTTTGTAGATGATTCACTACTCCTAATGTACTAAAACAGAACATCAAGCTATTTTAGCAGAAACCTATGTTCTATTTCAGAACAGAAATACTCTGTTCCATCAGATTTCAGATTATATTATGTATTTTATATGTTTCCTGCATTTCACTACTCCTAATGTACTAAAACAGAACATCAAGCTATTTTAGCAGAAACCTATGTTCTATTGCAGAACAGAAATACTCTGTTCCATCAGATTTCAGATTATATTATGTATTTTATATGTTTCCTGCATTTCTCATGTGTGTTCACTTGATTTTATATACACAGGGAGGAAAGATCCCAATCCGGTGGACATCACCAGAAGCTATAGCTTACCGCAAGTTCACATCAGCCAGCGATGTATGGAGTTACGGGATTGTTCTCTGGGAGGTGATGTCTTATGGAGAGAGACCATACTGGGAAATGTCCAATCAGGATGTAAGTATTTGTAGTTTATGAGTTATGGGTTCAGATTAAAAGATCAAGCTGTGCAAGGAAGTGGAGCATAATGAAACCAGGTGGCTCCTAGTTTGTGACATTGAAATAGAATAATTGGAAGAAATGGAACTGTCTCCAAATCTTGCAAGGACATTAATTGAATTGTTCTTACAGCTTTACACGTTTCCCTCAAGCAGAGGTTTCGAAATAAGACAAAATAAAACATTTGTAAAAAAAAAGTAATGAAAAAAGTGACCAATAAAATTATCAGTGAGTATTTGAAGAATTTTTGCTACAAAACTCTTTCTATATAAAATTAGCAAGATACATATGTCTGCCATCCTTTCTTGATTTAATTAATGTATGTATGCCAACATTTTATTTACTTAAATATAGTATTTCCCAAAGTCGGATAAAAACAACCAATCTCTATCATGTTTTTTCTAGCAATGTATTTCACTTGCACATGAATTTAATTATAAAAACTGAAGTCTCTGGATGGAGAAAATAATCTTTAACTTTCTATTATAACTGTGATATGATTTTTCAAAGGGAATTTTGTTTTTATAGGTTATATTTTGTTAATGCTTAGTAAAAGGATGCCATTGGCATATGGGATCAGCACTCAGCGATTTTTCTTTATGCTTAGCCAAAAAAGCTTAACATGATCCCAAGAATACATAAGAAGCAAGCTGAGATGCTTTTAGTCATTTCCGACTCACCACTTATAAAATTGCTTTTAATGTATTTTGATATATAAATCTTTCTGTACTTATTCAAAATGCTTTTTTTTTTTTTTTGAAGTAATACTGGAAAAATCAGATTCACTTTTCCACATCTCTACTTTCTGAATTCTGTCTGTATCACAGGATCTTAAAGTGTGGTCTCTGGACCAGCAGCTTTAGTATGGCCTGGGAATTTGTTAGAAATGCAACTTCTCAGGCTCTACCCCAAATCTATGAAATCAGAAACTATGGAGGTGAGGATGTAGTGCTCTGTGTATTAAGTCCTCCAGATGCTTCTGCTGCACATTAAAGTTTGAAAATCCCTGCTTTACCTGACTTAAAAATGCTAATCAACTAATAATTATTAAGTTGTACAGCAAATGGGATTTTGCTGAAGGAAGTTACTATTATTTCGGAGAGACCATTTAAACTATGATATAACTAAAATCTGCATATTTGTTTTCTCTGCATTCATTCATATATATGTTTTATAGAGGTCTGTATGACCAAATAATAATTCTTTATAACACCAAATTTCCTATTTCACTGAACATTTCTTTTTATTTAAATCTAAAAACTCTTTCCTGTGTTCACTCTCATTTTCTTTCATTTTCAGGCTTAAATAATTTTTTATTTATTTGATCAGCTGTTATCCTTTTAGGCAATTAATTTAAAATGAGAACGTTTTTACTTAACTGGAAAATATTTATATGAGCATGCCCTGCCCATGAAGAAGTAAAGTGAGTCCCACCTCTAAAGTTCCCGGACACTTTTCTTCTCACACAGGTAATTAAAGCTGTGGATGAGGGTTATCGCCTGCCACCTCCCATGGACTGTCCAGCTGCCTTGTATCAGCTGATGCTGGACTGCTGGCAGAAAGACAGAAACAACAGACCCAAGTTTGAGCAGATTGTCAGCATTCTGGACAAGCTTATCCGAAATCCTGGCAGCCTGAAGATCATCACCAGTGCAGCAGCAAGGTGACACATTCGAATTTGATCCTGCACTTTCTCTGAAATTGATACATTTGCTATCTCCAAAGTGTTAATTTTTTTCCACTCCCCCAACTGTGTTCTGTGAAACTTGTATTCCTTAAGACGAGAGAGATTTATTTTTCTTTTTCTTATCCTTAGGAGAAATTCTCATGCTAATAGTAATCATGAAATGTAAGATATTTTTAACTTCCATCTTGACTAGAAATGACTCTACATTCAGGCTTGTTTAAGTCTTTGGGAAATAGGAAACCTGGACACATACCTTTTATTCCAGTCTTCATTATTTAAAAAAAACATACAAGCAAACGAACAAAAACAAAAACAAAACTCCTGGAATGGTGGAGAATTCTGGTGAAGTCCTGATTCATACTTCATTTAAAATAAAGCAAAAAAAAAAAAAAAAAGATCCAAAATATCACACTTGTTAGCAGAATGCAACTTCCCCCCACTTAATTAATCAAATATTTGCTTAACCATAGATGCCATGGAAGAGAGAAAACTAAGAGTAAAATCAGGTGCCCCTGGACAGTACCATAAATGTCAGTACATCATAGGTACAATGCAATCCAGGATGCACGACATCTATGAAATTTTTCCTCTCAGTTAAGAATAACTGAGTTCTCTCAGTGGGTTTCAAGCATGTAAATTACAGTGCACCTACAAAGTGCAATGGGAGAAATGGAGAAGGAGAAGTGAATTTTGTCAGGGGCCATATGAGAAGAAAAGTGTTAATGTATTTGGTGCATCTCAGAGAAATTAAAGGTGAAGCTATCTATCTTGTTTAATAATTTAGATTCTCATTGTATACACAAGAGTAAAACAGTTCTTTTATATGATGATGCATGCACTCTAGGCTTTTAATTTTTCTGTCTGATTTATCAGATGAGCTAGTATATATATTTTGTACTTATAAAAATGTTTTCCTGACAACTAGAGAGAGAAGCACTTCAGACCTTTTTGGGACTTTGTAGCTGTGTGACCACTCACTCGATGGCTTGGAGACTAATGTCTTCATAGGTGCAGTGGAGTTTTCTCAGTAATTATGACTTGGCGATTCTACACTTCCTGACATCTGTTCTCTATTGTGTTATTTATAGTTTCCATTAATGCTATCCTGCCCTGTTGTTTCCATTGCTACAAAGCATAGCTACTAAAGCTGGCATTTAATGCATGAGAAATTCCTTGGTTTTCTCCTCCAGTTGTCTGTTTAAAGATCAAGCAGTGTGTGAGTGTATGTGTGTGTGAGTGAATGTATAGATACATAAAAACTTCAATTAATTATGCTTTAGTATCAGATTTTTTTAGAAGATCAATAATATTCAATGCAATATTTTAGAGAATCAAAATTAACGCTCCTCACATCCACAAGTAACAAAAATATCAAAAATTGAAACACTTGGACTTTTTTTATTCATTGATCCATTGATAAATACCTATGTTATTTTCATATCTTAGTTATTGTGAATAGTGCTGCAATGAACATGGAAGTGTAGATATCTTGTGAAGACACTAATTTTATTTCCTTTGAGTATATACCCAGAAGTGATATTGTTGGATCATATGAGGGTTTTATTTTTAGTTTTTTGAGGAACTTTCAAACTGTTTTCCATATGGCAGTACCAATTTACATTCCAACCAAAAATGTTCCCTTTTCTCCACATCCTTACTAACACTTGTTATCTTTTGGCTTTTTAGTAACAGTCACACTAAAAGGTGTGAGGCAATATCTCATTGTGGTTTTGATCTGCATTTCCCTAATGTTTAGTGATACTGAGCACCTTTTCATATACTGTTGGCCATTTGTATGTCTTCCATAGAAAAATGTCCATTCACATCCTTAGCCCATTTTTTAATCAGGTTATTTGTTTTCTGCTATTGAATTGAATATTTTATAATTCCTTATATATTTTGTTCCTTTTATATTTTGAATATTAACCCCTTTCCAAATATATAATTTGTAAGTGTCTTCTCCCATTTTGTGAATTGCATTTTCATCTTGTTTATTGTTTCCTTTACAGAAACTTTTTAGTTTGACATAGTCCCATTTGATTATTTTTGCTTTTGTTACCTGAGCTTTTGGTGTCATGTCCACAAAATTATTGCCAAGACCAATGTGATAGAGCTTTTCCCCTGTGTTTCATGCTAAGAGTTTTACAGTTTTAGGTCTTAAGTCTTTAATCCATCTTAGTTGATTATATTGAGCACACTTTATCCAGTTTTTACATTATATTTGAATAAGATGAATAAGGAGAATCTGAAACAAAGTCTTAATACCAGTATATAAGGATCATAGAATATTCATTGGAAATAACATTTAGAGATCACTAAGATTGAATCACCCATAGCTTATCCCATAAGATTAAATCTCTTTTCTAAACTTTATAGAGAGACTATACAGACTCTGTTGGAGATCCACCTGACAGTTTAACAACTGACAGGATAACAAACCTGTCCTTCCCTGGGCCATAAGGTCCTCATTTTGCACTCTGAAGCCATTGCTTTTGATCTTTACACAACAGTAATCATGGCATAGAAAACATCTTTTCAACTCTTTCTGTATCACAAAAAAGGCATTCCAACCATTTCCACAGGATGGTATTATCAGTGTAAAGCTAACTCCTACAATATGATCTAGGGATATTTAACACCAATTTATATGAAGGATGATAGTCTTAATATCATATTATAATATGTCAGGATATGTACTAGTATCTAAGTTTTAATATACTTCCTTACTCACATTTTTATCTTATTGAAATATATTGAATACTTTTTTCCTGATATATGTTCTTTAATGCCTGAACAATATTATGTATTTTGTCACAAAACATACAGTTTTAGAAACAATATAAATATTTTTCTATGAAGTACAGTCCATATTAATTAAGTTAATGTACAAGTTTAGATCATTAGATTTATATTTTTACTTATTACCATTAAAACACACAACTGGCAGATTTTGTTGTTACAAATTTATTATCATCCACCTCCTATTGCCATGCAATGTCAAGGAATTTTTTCGTAGAAAAATTGCATTCCTACTTTTGACAATGATTATGTCATCCTTTTCCATCACTGATTAAACTCATTTTCCCCTTGAATTTTCCAGTGATGCCCTTGCCACATATTTAATGAAGAAAATACAAAACCATTAGATGGAAACTTCCAAGAGCAAAAGAAAAACTTACTTGCACCTGCACCTACCTATCTTGTATTTCTTTCCTCTAATTATAAAAAGAAGCATCCGTCTACTTCTCTCTTTCACTCTCTGTCTCTCTCTCTGACACTCTTTCTCCTGTAGATCCAGTCTCTTTCTGTCTGCAGATTATTGTCATAGAATGACAATGTTCTATTACACTGTTTTTCAAATTTCTCTGATAAGAATCACCTGGGGAACTTATTGCACATACAACTCCCCAGGTGTATCCCAAGCTAAGCTACTGATTCATAATTTCTGGGAAAGGAGAATGGAATTTAAGCATTTGATAAAAACCCCAGATGATTTGCTTCATTAGAGGAATTTAGGAAACACTGGTTGTCGATGTCACCTCTGCTGGCCCTGTATTTCTGCAACTACTTCCCTTTTCTCTGACACTCTTCACAGCTGAACTTCTCAAATAATGGACCCATAAACTTATAAACTTAATATTCTGAAAATGTATTTTTCTATTTTCTCCTGCTGCCCTGATCTTTCCACTGCCTTTTGAATTTAGCTGAATACACAAGCACCTACACATTTGACCAACCAGGAGTTGCTGCAATTCTTGGCAAATGGACCCATAAACTTATAAACTTAATATTCTGAAAATGTATTTTTCTATTTTCTCCTGCTACCCTGATCTTTCCACTGCCTTTTGAATTTAGCTGAATACACAAGCACCTACACATTTGACCAACCAGGAGTTGCTGCAATTCTTGGCTCCCTTTCTTATTCTCCACACTTTGATCCAGATGCTTACTGGATTAATGTGATTCATCTCTCCCCTTTTCTGCTGGTATCGGCACAAGACACTGTACCTACAAATATGTACAAGTAAATGTTAAAATATTTTGAATTAAAAAAAAAGAGGAAATGGGCCCAACTTATCCTTTTATCAGAAGCTCACTCCCATGATAAAAACCTGCTCCCACAATAATGGCATTAATCCATTTATGAAGGCAGAGCCTTCATGGACTGATAACTTCTTAAAGGTCCCTTCTCTCAAGCATCATTTCTGCATAGCCTTCAGAATTTTCTTATTAAAAAATATGATATAATTCCAGTCACCCATTTATAACCAATTTTGAATTCCCATTATACGCAGAAAAAAATTTAGACTTCTTTTTATGGTTTAAAAATCCCTGCTTCTTCAATATCATTTTTTTCATTCAAATATCCATTTATTCATTTTTCCAACAATTCCTTATTATATGACAATCTACCATGTGCAAGGCACTATGTAGACTGGAGAACAATGAAGAAGACAAAAACAGTCCCTGCCATTCTGGAGCTACATTATAGAAGATGGACTATAAACAATAGACAAGCACAGATTTTAAGAAGGAAATAAATAGATGGCTGTGATAGACAATAATGGAGTAGTTGAGAAAGAACCCTCTGAGGAGGTGATTGAGCTGAGACCTAAAAGAAGGAAATGAGCCATCTGTATAAAGACCACTCCCACCCTCCAAAAACAGTATTCTTGACATAAGATAAAGAAACTGCAAATACCTTGAGAAAAGAAAGAGTTTGGAGAAGTCTAAAAGATGGCAGAGGGTAATATGACTGAAGAGCTGAAGGAAAGGAAGAGTCTGTCATGAGTTTAAGGAGGCAAAAGAAGCCAGAGCACTTGAGGCTACACAGACCATGATGAAGACCTTCAAATTTAAGTTTTTAAATGTATGAGAAATCCATTCAGGTATTCGAAGGGGAGAAGTAAGATGATTTGATTTGCACAACTGCTTTGTAGATGGAAGGGCAAGCATATGAGAAGGTGGACGTCATT